CCCCAAATTCTCAAAATCAAGTTCCATGCAAATACGGCACAGTGTTCTCCTCCAACTGCTTGCCAATGAATTCGACATGAGACGCTTCTCATCATCTTTCAGGATATATGCATCGCAGTCTTGGTGGCAGGATTTACAAATTAGTCAGCTGTTTCGGCAGTGCAGTGGGCCATGCTTGCGAGCGCGGGTTAGTGGCTTCTAGGCCCCAGGGGTTAAGGAAAAAAAGACCCCGAAGAAAACCCAGAGAGAGGAAACGATTCACGACATTGTGGCCTCTTGTCCTTTATGTTGCTTGTGGAAAGGCGGGCAGTCCTGAGGGGCAGGGGCGGGAGGGGCATCGATCTACAGGGTCAGCAGAAGGGCGTTGCCCATACCCCGTCCACGTACAGAGCGTTGTCGGTCTGTGATTCGGCGTCCTGCCGGCGCAGCTCCAGTTGAGAAGGACCGAACACTAGCGCCTGGGGCCGAGGGGCCAAAGTGCTCGGATTCTCGTTGGCTTTCTTCTTCGCCTCTCGATCCTTCTCTTGCTCCCGAGCAACTTGGCGAGGTCGCGGTTGCGCAGCACCTTGAGGTCGCTGCAGAAGTCCCGGATCTCCCGCGTGGTCAGCGGATGGCGTCGGAGCTGGGGCGCTTTGAGCAGGATCTCGGCAAAATTTGCAGCAGCCAAGAACTCGTGGGCTGGAACGAGGAGCCGAGCGTCCCCTGAGGCACCTTGGCCGGCGCTTTTGGCGGTGCCTGAGGCACCTTGGCCGGCGCTTTTGGCGGTGCTTGAGGCACCTTGGCCGGCGCTTTTGGCCTGAGGCACCTTGGCCGGCGCTTTTGGCGGTGCCTGAGGCACCTTGGCCGGCGCTTTTGGCGGTGCCTGAGGCACCTTGGCCGGCGCTTTTGGCAGTGCCTGAGGCACCTTGGCCGGCGCTTGTGGCGGTGCCTGAGGGACCTCGACTCAAGCCTGCCCATCCCCCGGTCCCCGCACTGTCTCTTGAGCCAAAATGGCAAGGGTTTAGGGGTTTAGGGGTTTAGGGTTTGGGGTTTTAGGGTTTTGGGTTTAGGGGGTTCATGGGTAGTTATAAGTAGTTATAAGTGGGATTATAAGTAGGGTAACTATGATTATAACCCATATTAGGGGACTTATAACTCCACTTATAGCTACCCATGAACCTCCAAGTGGGTGTTCGTAGGGATACCATGACGGTTTTGCTAAAAGGGCACTATTTTTGCCTCCCACCTAGCTAGGACGAGCCCACATTATAGGGTTTAGGGTTTAGCAGGTGCCCTTGTTTCGGGCTTAGCATGTAGCAGTGCGGCATCGGCGCTTCGGGCTTCTCGGAGTTTCAGAACTTGTGGCATGTGGGTCTTGTGTCACCTGTGGGAGCTTGGAACATTGGGGGCAACAAAGGAATCTGGGTTTAGGGTTTACTCTCTGGTTCTGGGTTCTTTCTTTAGGGTTTAGGGTTTAGGGTTGGGGCAATCAGGAGTTCGGGCTCTGTGCTCGCCCGGGCCTGGGGCATGAAAATCCAGATGACAGGGCTCGCATTTCCAGTCTCGTGCCTTTTGTGCAGAGTTCAGTTCAAGCACGGCCTCAAAACCAAGCGACTATGCTGGAATGGGAACATCAACAAAAATCCTGCGAGGATGGCGCGTCTCTTCCCTGCCTTTGCCAGACCCACGGGCGTTCCGCGAAGGCTGCGAAGGAAGAAATGCACCACGGCACCGGGAATCACGTAGCCTCGAAGTATAGCACGGTTGGGAGGGTAGCTTCTGCGACTCGAGGGATGAGATCAGCACGATGATGGACATGATGCTGCAGATCAAATCGTTCTGTCGATTGGTTGGGCAAGGAGTCGAGGGGGGAGGAGAACGAGAAAGGGAATGAAATCAAGCACAAGTCTTGCTTCAAGAAACCTTCGACAACCAAAGAGCATCCTGTAACGCCAAATGGGCAGACTCGATCTGCCGAGCCCGCAAGCCAGTAATCCCTAGCAAAGCCACGAGAAGAACTGAAAGAATTTCCAATCCTGCTCATGTTCTTCTCCAGCAGAGTTGTCCTAGATGATCCGTGCAATCTCAGTCCAGCCCTTGTTTCATCTCACTGCTCCGCCGATGTTTCTCAAAGCCACCGATGTTGGCGCTGGCACGCAGCCCGGCGAATGCAACGCCGACCTCGAAGTGGCCACTCTGGCCACTGTTATATTCATGTCCTCTCGATCTTGTCGGTTCGCATCGGAGAAGTCAGAAAGGAGTGACACTGAAAACGATGAATATGATGGTCATGAAGCCGATTATCTTATGCGCGCTGGTTTTGAGTTTGCCAGGTTCAGGTCTTAACTTGATCAGCTTTGGCAGCCGCATTGGCGACTGTGCCACGAGCTATCGAACAGTGCTACTACCTCTCTTCAAGATGCATAGCTCCATTGCCCAAAAACGTCTCAGGCTTTAGCCGTCACCCTTTCAGGAACCCGTCAAGTTCGGAACCCGGGCCGCAGCACTGACAGCCACAAAGACCAAGCTCCCGGCCAAAAAAGAGCACAGAATCTCCTCAACTGAAACGACTTCCAAGAACTCCTGAAACAAACCCCACTTTGGACCAGAGCTGCGGCCCTGCCCTGCGCATCCAGCACCGGGCCTGGCGAAAGGGTGGGAGGATGGGGGACTCTGACTTTTTTGGCACTCGCTCTCGGCAACGTTAAGCGGGAAACACAAGCCTGTTGGGATTTCGACAAAAAAAGAGGCCCTTTTCGACTCTCACACTCGCACCAGGCAGGTAAGGCCCCACATCGCGTTTTTGTTTGCTGAACCCCTGTTTTTGTCCGACCTCTGGGCTCCTGAAAAACTGCCCCGAAATCCCCACTTTCTATGGAAAACGCAGGGACGGTGTCCCCCAAGCGACCTGAAAGCCCTCTTTTGGGTGTGTTCAGCTTTTGCGTTTTTGCACGGAGGTTGTATTTGCCAAATCTAGGTGGTCCTTCAAGGCATAGACTTGTTTAGGGTTTAGGGTTTAGGGTCAGGTGGTCCTTGAAGTTGGCTCGGCTCTTGCTGGTCGACCGTGGTCGACAGATAGAAACAGGAGCAGCCCAGACTCACAGATCTCTTGCAAGTGCCGCCACCTTCCCCTTAACAAAAAAGACAGCGGAACTAGCTCGCACCATCTGGCTGAGCTTGAGAAAGTCCGAGGTACAGGAAGGAAGGGTGCGATGCCCATTTACAACCAAGCATGACCGACATCCCTGAGAAATGGATGAACATATGATGCACATGCATTCGCACGGTACAGAGGCAAGCAAGAACTGTAATGCTGTTTACAAGAGGAGCCGCAGTAGCACCACGAACGTATATGGCACATCAGAATGACAATGCTTTGTGAACTAGGTGATGTCCTTCGCGATGGGGAGGGGGTACTTGCAGATGAAAGAAGGTAGGACGAAATTGGTGATGACGACGCTGACAAGATAAGGAAGCGACGTATATTGAGGAAGTGGGGAGAACAGTGTCAGCGAGAGGAAGATAACTACGAAAACTGTAACCTCAAAGATGACGTCGCACAATGCAATGATGACGATCATCATCATGATCATTATTGTGATGATGATGATGATGTTGATGACGATCCTGTTCATGACCAAGTATTCGGCAGTGTTGCTAAGGATCGTGGTGATGCTGCCTCCAGACACACGGAGCTTCATTGAAGAGCTATGCCCGTAGGTGGCCTCCCGAGTTTCCAGGATTGATTGCCGCGTCGACCTGCGATGGATCTGAAGGAAGGGCTTGCGGTCGAAAACCCAAAGAACCAAACTCCCTCCCTTGCACTCTGTAACAAGGTCCTACAACAGCATCCTGTTGGAACTCTTGTGCCGACATGGTCTCAAGATTCTTGCAGTACATTGCCTGATTAACACCACCGCTTTCAACGGACGTCTTCTTCGGGATACACAGAACGGAACGGCCAAAGCACACGTGCTTCTATGTCACAATGCGTGGAGACAGTGCGAGACCGACAATTGAACAGGCAGGTAGATACATAAACTAGGTAACGCCACATGAAGCGACCAGCGCGATATCGGGGGTGCTTTTTAAGGCAAAATGGCAGTTTTTTCTGTGTAAAACGATGATTTCTGGATTATTCATTCGTGTTTTGGGAGACATCCTTGCGTAACCTGCAAAATTTTCGGGTCTTGCTTTCGTCATTGTTTTGTCTTTGGAACAAGTGTTGTTGCTGGTTTTGCCACAGCGAAAACAAGGTTTTGCGTTTGATGGCTTGGTTGTCCGGCAGCATGTCTTTACAGCTTTCAGAATAAGAGGCCCATTTGGATTTCGGTCGAGGTTTGGGTTTGTGGGGCTTCGGTGTTGCCATGTCTTTGTAGTCTTTGGGGGGCGTTAGGGCAAAATGGCAGTTTTACTGAGGTCAAACGATGATCTCTGCTGTATATAAGTTCTTGTGAAAGGAAAGCCGAAGCGAAGACAAGGTCGTGGGATGTCGAGTTTAAGCTTTGAGCTTGAAGGTTTTGGGGCTGGCACTGATTCGCCAGGGCCTGGGATGCTGGCTGTAAGCTTCTAGATCGAGGGTTTTGGGCTTGCACGCTTGGGATTTTTGTTTGGCGTTTGAGGGTTTCGGCTTAGACACTATTAAATTGTAAACGTATACTTCTATAGAATTATCGTATACTATTATGGCATTATGATATTATGGTATTAATGGTTACGGTTGAGAGACGTGTTGAGCGGGTCCAAGAGCCCCTGACCCCGTGGTTTCACTCTGGCTTGCTTTGGGATGCCTTAAGCCGCAGCGGATGTAGACGGGTCGGCAAAGGCAAACTAACTAGAGAGTATATGGTTGTAACACCATGCAGTACAGGTGCAGCAGCAGTGGCAGCAGCATAGTAAGGGAACTATAAGCACAGCTACAACTAGTAAGCACTGCTACTCCTGGGACTGGTCGGTAATGGACGTTGTCAGACAGAACAAAACTAACCCCCCCTCCGACAAAAACAAGCATAACCCGCGGGTCAACTGGTTGTGCGTTGGCACAAACTGGGGCTAGCGCGCTGGAACAAACGAGACCGTTGCGGTCTGGCAGACGGCCCTCAGATGCGAAATCCAGGAAGAACATACTCAAACAAGCAGAAGCACACTGATTCGCGTCTAGGCTGTGCCCTGCAGAGACATGCCTCACCCTCCCAAGGCCTCTGAGTCTTGACCCTAGCCAGGGGTCGGAGATCCGCCCACGGCTTCCCTTCTCCCTCTACGGGGTCGCGACTGCGAGGCTGCCAAAGAACCTGGGACGGATTCTTCTTTCTCCTCTTCTAAGCATGCTTTTGAGTTTGATGCGGTGCAACAAAAACCTCCATGGATACTGAAACTACTGTGACTACCATGATCACGATCGTTCGATGGCAACTTTCGCTGTTCGATTGCTACTACAGTATTGGTGTGGTCTTGCCGTCTATGACTTTTTTCCATGGATACAACTGCTGTAATTGCAGGTCGGCACGGAAAACATGATGTGAGTAACAAGGCCACCAAAACCGAGTGTGACTTCCAGCACTGCGGTGCCTCCTCCGTGCTGTTAGTAGGAGCGATTTTGCTACCCAAGCATTCCCAGCATGATCATGCATGATCATGGTAGCTACTGTGATGGTACTGGTTTTGGTCATGATTTCGCGAGCGTTGTCTATCGCATGCCTATGAGAATACACGCTCCCATCAGCGTTGCGACTGCGAGGGCCCCCTGACCAATGACTTGGTCAGGGTACGGAGATGAGGATTGCGCCCATCACACAGAAGCCGGCTGCCAGATCAAAGGCTGCAGTCGGACCTCCCCAGGCCTCAGCCCAAGGGAAGAGTTCTCTCATCTCTTCAGGAGGCTCCCATCATCGCAGCCCAAACCAAGTTGAAGCCAAGAGTCCAAGCTCGTCTTCAGCTTCCAGGCCTCGAACCTGAAATCCCCTTGCCTTGGGAAAACCGATGCAGCTCTGGGCAGTTCTGGGAGTCTTGCAACCTTGACCAAAGCATCAGCAATGCTGATAAGACGGAACGAACGCGACGAGGCGCCAAAATTACTGCAAATACCGTGCATTTGTACATCTGAGAACTCTGAGCAGATTCCCAAAGGCGCAGTCAGCTTCAGCAGGAGCTTGCGCAACAGCGGCGTCAGTAGCCAGCCCGGCAGCCAACCCCCACATTGCCCTGCACACTCCACCCCCGCCAAGTTGACAAGTGTGGGATCGAAAACTTTTCAACATGCATCAAAATCAACTACTAAAGCAAAAGCAACGGCAACTGCAAGGGCAAGAATTGCAATTACAAGAGAGAACAAGAACAACCGCGCCACAGCCCGAGGAAAACACGCCGCCACTATCTTATCTCTCCTGGGCGCCAGATGGCTGGCACGAATATGGACGACTGAGCTACAAACACCTGCGAAATAATAGGTTTTGAACTTCCCAACGGTCACATTGCAAAGAGGCACGCTGCTGGAAGAGCGCTGACAACAGCGTTGCCCACGATGCCGGAGAGAACCGCAATGAGCCAGCTGCCAGACCACATGCCTCAGGATCGAATCGGGAATTGGCGCGGCCGCTTGATGGAAACCTTCTAGGAAGTGCCTGGACATTGTGGGACACAGTGATTGACCTACAAGCAGGGCCCCTGTGACTTTTACATACCATCGTCATTATCAACACCAGAGCGGTGTCCCAGCGTAACAGGACAGGGACTGTGCTTGGCGCGTTGCACCAGAAGCGCAACAAACGACACACTCCGGGCATATTGACATCGAGCAGACTTTGAGCCCGTCCTGGTCGTCTAGCCCAAAAGAGCGTGTACGAGATACACCGGACTGCGAGTTACAGTGAAACACGCGCTTTGAGTCACTGAGCTTTCCGGGCCGCTTGGACAGGAAGCCATACTGCAGGCCGCCCTGCAGGGACTCCGGCGGGGACTGCCGTAGCTGGGTACATAGGCCGCGGCTGTGGCTGCAGGGCAGCAGCAGGCCGCCGCTGGGCGGGTCCACCAACCGAACTTTGCTGTGTCTTCGGAGAGGAGGACATGGACAGCACGTCCTTCAAGGAGTCGACACCCACTGGGCCCAAGTTTGGAGAAGTCTCGGCAAAGAAGTTGGCCAAGTCAGAGGAAGCTTCTGCCAACCGCTTTCGCGCCTCGTCGACTGCGGTGCTGCCATCAGGCGTAGTCTTCAAGCATGCAGCGGATGCATTTAACATGCTGCTGCTCAGACGGGAAAGGGTGTCGAACAAGTCGAGCACGAGAAGCAAGTTGGTCTTGGAGAGGTCCAGGATGCCTTTAATGGAATCTGGCGTGTGATCTGCCGAAAAGGACGCCTGGTTCACGCTCACGGCATTCGGCGTTTGCTGGGGCACTCCGCCGAGCTGAGAGTGAAGCATCAGTGCACTGCTCAGTTCACTAACCTGCTGTCTCAGCCGCTGGTTTTCTTCATCTAGCCTCTCGTTCTGCTTTCGTATGCCCTGCGGTCCAAAAGTGATTGGTGCGCCTGGGTCAATCATGTTCTTGGGGCTTGCGGAGATGATGCTCTCTCGCAAGCTGTCGTAGCGCTGCCTGAGCTCTGCCAACTCGCTGGGGCCCTGCTCCGACCAGGGATGGTTGAATTCATCGAGGTCAAAGTTCTCAGGGTCCTCGGAGTGTGCTTGCCACACCTCCTGCATGATCTGTAAGCGGGAGCAGAACTTCTCGAAGGTCCAGTTGTACAGAACCTCCACCTCATTCATTCCCACCCCGCCAGCTCCAGATGAAAACTGCTCCAAGAGAATCTCGCTGGAATGCAAGGATGCCCGTCGCGCACTGACGGCAGAGGCTTTTGCTTTCGCTTGGCTGGGAGACATCTGCCGCACGAGTCGGACCGAAAGTTCTGGACACAAGGAGCGACCGTATCCCAAGGCCAAGATAGGCGCGATGGTGCACAGCTCAAACCTTGGAGCTATGCTTAATGCACCTCCACACACACACACACACACCCACCCACACCCAAACAGCTCGCGATCTTCAACGTTCGCCACGGGACCTGAGGTTTGTCTGGCCACCCGGCTTGACCTCGGCGGTGATCTGGTTGGCCTCTTCCACCATCGTTGCAGCCTGCGAGTGGTGCTGCGGCGCTGGTTACACTTTCGCGAGACGGATCGGACAGCGCCCCACGGACACTCGACTCTGAGCGGGGCGACAAGATCACGGAGTGGGATGAACCCGTTCCCAAAGCTCCAGCTTGCCTTCTGGGCCATGAGCATGAACTCTTGCACAGAGGTTGCTCCATCGCTGTCCTCAGCTTGCAGCATGCTCGAGTTGAGGAGCAAAGACCAACGCCGATAAAGACCTGGATTTGCAGCACTTCGAAGCATTGCCATCATACAGTAGGCTCGAAGAACGACGCCACAAAAGCTGCCAACAACGATTGAGAAAACCCGGGCTGCCGAAGTCACCACAACTCTAACAACCAAATTGACACTAGGCGGCAAGGTTGTGGCTCTTGAGCTCGGACATGTACTTCAAAGCCATCTGCAGCTGACCTGGTTGTTCGGCCCGGTCCTTCCCCAGGATCTCCAGGATGAGCGACTCCTGACATTGCAAGGACAGGCTTGCTCGAGTCCTCTGGGTACGATGAACACTCTGCGTTAACAGTCTATGTTGCCTAGTCTTTGGTTCCTGAGTTGTTGCTGTCTGCTTGCCATTTCCTCTTTCTTTGACATCTACCCTGGCCGCCCATTCACTGCGGTGCGAGCCACGCGTCTACACCTTTCTGACCATAGGACACCTACTCGCACCTATGGCCGTCAGGTTCGAGGGACAAGTCATGCTGCAGCTCCAGCTACACCGCTCCTGCTGCGATGGTCGAACCGCTTTGTCTGCAGGAAGGGAATTGATGTCGCTTCCAGGCTCGGTAAAAGCCTCCACTGCAGACTTCCAAGCTCGAGGGCCGGGAAAGCGAGAAGCTGAGATGCCGCAACTGCCCTGAGGCCCCGGCATAAAGCATGACGGAGCGTCCCAGGACAACACAGTCCAAATGATGGAGCTCCACGTCTTGCAGCGACTTCAGCTGAATACCATTAACCTCTTCAAAACCGCAAGCAAGAAGCTACTGATACTTGGTGGCTTGCTGGTGGATTGCATGCCCGGCACATCACGTCTGTTGGGCGTACACACGGCCTCGATGCTGGAGATCGCACCATCCGCCCTCTTGTTTGGATGCCACTCCTCGTCGCTGCTGCTACTGCTCCTGTCAGTGGCCCGGGATGAGTGGGAACGTCAGCCTACATGGTCTGGCCCGTGAACGATGGGTCGAGTGCACTCCCCTATCCGAGGCTCTGAGGTCTCAGTCACTTCATTCCGCTGCGCTGCTCTAAACCCCGTCACTCCTGTCCGATTGTGCTGCTGGTCGGAGGAACAAGCGTCCGTTGCTGTCCTTATGGATGAAGCACGTAACCTGCTGGATGCCTCGGGCCAGGCATGGATGATTACGGGCAGTGCTGATAAGTGCAAAGCTCCAGCCAAGATGCCCAGGCCATGCGGCACCAAGAAGTCGCACTCATGGTTGAAGCCGAGAGAGTACTCGCGATCAGGCTGCGCAGGGTGGAACATCAGCCGACCCCGCATGTGCGGATCCTCGGGGCCACACTTCGAGTCTTGAGGGGGGCCCCTTGTTTAATTCTCCCGTAGCCCTAGATACTGGATACTGTCATGTGGACCTGGTCACATCTGGTCAATGGCCCATCGAGATTCCCAATTTGTCCAACTTTGGGGCCGGAACGTTCTCGCAGGATGTCGAGGGTATGACACAACTACTGGGCAGACTTAGGGCAAGCGGAGCTCCCTTCAGCAACCATCACCAGGCATTCCAAGACCCTGGAAGTGGAACGAACTAAGTGAAGGTGCCTAGGCGCCTCGGAGTAGTTGGCCAAGTGCGGAACTTGGCGCTGCTGCACTTTGTTTGCCATAAGCACGTTGTGCATGGCCCAGCTCCATCGAGGGGCTCCAAGCTTCTCCAACGCGGCTCCCCGCTGTGACATCATTCGCTTGGCTTCGCTGGAGGCCTCGTTCCATCCCTTCCGATATCGTTTCACTAGTTCCTCGGTCGCCTCCAACTTGTCTGTGAGCGTGTCATGGTGGACCTTCTCCTGCGCCTCTGCAAGCTGCTCCTTTAGGGCCTGGAGCTCTTCCTGCAGCGTCTTCACCAAGGCATCCTTGTCCACGGCGCTGGCGGGCTTCGCCTTGATCTTGATGTTCTTCACCGTGGAGGCGAAAGTCAAAGTGCTGTAGCTCTCCTCGAAGTTGGCAAGGGCGGGGCTCAGTGTGCCGATCATGGAGGTCTTGGAATTTCCGCTCAGAGCATTGGAGAGGAGCAGGGTGAGCTTGGAGTTCCGAAACCTTGACATCATGGCGGTGCCGGATGCTGCCGCAGCACTCATGGACTTCCTGGTGTCCGGCTTCGCGAGAGCCTGTATACAGCTCGCCAACCACATCAAGCTTTGATTGATGAAGGTTAGCTCCACCAGCCTTTCGCCCGACACCTTGCCGCTTTCTTTGCCAACAAACATCCACTCAATTAGTGACACCGTGCTCCTACTGCACTCGCGTCTGCAGCATGAAAAAGATGAGCCTATCACCACTCCACGCTGCTCATCTTACCAACATCTAGCAAAAGCTTTGCCAGCCATGCAGCTTTGGTGGTTTTCTCGTTTTCCCTTCCTGCGAGATCCACGAAAAACGCCTCCGACGTCACGATTGTGTTGTCCGTTCCCCCACCTTCCATCAAGAGACTCAAATACAAACTCCACGGCAACATGAGTTGTCAACACGTTTCCGGAGCCGTCGATTGCTCAAACCGTCTGAGACACGTTTCTCCACCATCAGCTTGAAGATCGTGTGCGCACGCGAGCTCTTGGCATTCATCGCCGTTGCTGCAACCGTCTTCATGGTGTTACCATACCTTCCGTCGCAAGCCGCCCGGCGGATTGTTGAGAACATCATCATAACTCGGGGCTTTGTGGGGCTTAGGGGCTTTCTATTCCTATTCCCAGATCACGACCACTTGCCTCACCAAAAGGGCCTACAGCAGCTTAGGCAACAAATTCGTGCACAGCTGGCGGCTCGATAAGCTGCACGCAATTCTCGAAGGACTCCACCGGCTCGTCTGCGACTCCCTTCACGTACCTCGCTGCTGCTTACTAGATGGATAGCAATACCTACGTTTGGCCAGTGTATCCTGCGCTCATACGTTCACTGCCGTTCCACGTTCGTCGCACATGAATGGTCGAATACGAACTTACCCGAGTTGCAGCAGCAGTCCCACTTGGGAATGGATTCATGATTCATGAGTAAGTTTTCCGATGCCGGGACATGGGCCAGTTGCAGCTGCGTTGCACCCCTAACTTTGGATGAACATGCACCTCGGGATGTTGACGTGACTTGCCATCTTTGCCTCCGTCTTTGCCTTGGCTCAGAGCATACCGAAAAGCCTTTGAGAGAACTCGCACATGAGCAGGCTGCCACGCAAGCCGTGCTAAAAGTATGGGGGGAAGCAATGAGACTGGGCATGCTGAGCGAATGACCACTCATGGGGACGAGAAGGTCGCGCACTTTCTCATTGTAGACCTCTTCAAAGAAAAGCCCGAGCCGGCCGATGCGAAAGTCGAGAGTGCGCAAACAGGGGCATCCTGCCCATAGGATCCTCGCCATAGCAACCGTGCCTCCAACATCTGAACTTTGCAGTGCACCTCAGAGCCTTGACTCTGAAGGTCGGCCATCCTTACATGCGCTGCCCTTGCCACCCCAGAAACGAACACACTTCCTATGGTATAAGGCAAGGCTTCTCGAAACTGCACCAACAAAATGCGCTCGTGCGCTCTGCATGCGGGGCTCTCTGCAAAGAGGTCGTTCATCAGTCTGAGCAAGAGACCCTGCTCAGACACGGGCTCCACCTTAGCCCAGAGTCTCAAAAGTTGAAGATCTCACGAAACGGCCCGGAATCAGAAGCTCTGTGCCTCCCAACTCATATTGCCGAAGCGGCTTTCCCCATGATTGTCGTGGTCTTGCCAGTGCCGGTCTGCCCATAGCAGAACAGGCAGCTGAAGTATCCTCCGAGGACGTGGTCGACCATCCTGCTAGGGCCGCAAAGGCAGGCTAGGATAAGTTAAAACGGATCGGGCCCATTCCGCGTCATTCGCATGCCCCCTCTCTGGCCACCTCTTTGCCATCATCTGATAGCATTTATCCTGGGACACATAGCTCCGCGCGTTCGGATCCGTGCTGTCCATGGCACAGTCGAAAGCAAACTCCAGCACCTTCCCGAGATATGGTCCAAGCTGGACCGACAACTCAAGGGCGAGTCTGTCCCTCGTCTATCTCGTGCCTTGGCTTTTTGGGATTGCTCTGCAACCATGGGGTCCACATGAACGGTGTTGTCCTCGATTGTGAGGCACCTGATAAGCAATCAAGAAATCGGAAGGTCGTTCTTCAAACCTGTACTGCCCGACTGACGGGGCATCCCGAAAGCCACAACCACGCAGGCAGCCGCGCGCCCGCGCGCGAGCAAGCAAAGGGCTGGATAAAGTCCATGTAGGCAAAGAAACGATTCTACGAGTAGCAGCCCTACCCGCCGTCATCCCGGAGCATGTGCTTCGAGGTCTGACTCAGGCCACTGCTGCTCTTGCCCGGATTCATAGGCGACGAAGGGACGAAGCCGAACCCCCACACAGACTGCCTCTCGGTCTGCCATGTCCCCGCGGCGAGTCGGGGGGGCATGGGCTGCCAGGGGCAAGGGGGACTTCGCTGGAGCTGCACCCTGCGATTAGGAGTCAAGTCAACCCTATAAGGTGGCCAAAGTTGTCAACGTGTTCAGGTGCTGCACAAGCGTATGTGTAGTGCTCTCACCATGCTAGCTTCAAGCTGAAACAGCTGCTTGCACGCTTCAGAGGAATCACCGAACTGTGCTCCTTTAATGATTCGAAGAGAATGAACACGTGATACCTCTCCAACTTCCAGTTCAAACTCACAGACGTCAGCATTGATGCAGCTGCAGATGCGAGACAGCAGCTGCCGCAAGGAGGCATCAGTCGGGAAAGGCTGCCGCTTGTGCTCCTGCACTGCAGTGCCGTCCCGGCTCACATCAGCCGAAATTGCATTGTGAACATGCTAGGACAACGTCATACGACCAAAGAACCCCTTTTTTGAATGGTAGGAAGCGCATCGCGCCGGGTCCGTCGCATTCGCCGGAGCAAGGCTTTATGCATCCCGCCTGGCGCTCCCCACTCCCACTTTGCCCTGGCAGCCCTCACACTGCCAGGTTCACCGGCTTTCACGGCGAAGTCGAGGTCCTTGACCGCCTTCGCCAGCGTCCGCAGGATGCTACGTACCGGACCGGCGTCTGGACTCTGGTCCACCCCATTCGCCGCGTGACATCTCCAAGTCCCCCCCGGAGACTGCGTCGGAGACGTTGGCTTTGGACGGCACCCGCACACACGTGAAGGCCTTCCTCGCCGTGAAGAGGTTCAGGCACCTGCCGGGAAGTGGCCGGCCTTGTGTCGAACTTCTCCTGGTGGGTAGAACGCGTCGGCATAGATGAGAGCTGCCGGCACGCTGTCATCAATGTAGGGGACCATCTTGGGCTGGATGTTCGCCAGCAGTGATCTAGCGACGTATAAGGGCCGCCCTCAGTCTTAGTGACAGCCTGGTGTCGGACGTCGCGGCCGCGTCATGCGCTCTGGATCGCTCTGGTGTAAATGGGCTGCAGCACCGCCTTCCCGACGGCTCCAAGGATTCCCAAGGTGGACTGAGTGACGAAGTTATATATAAGCCTTCCCGCCAGCCTGTTGGCCACATGGGGTGCCATGTCGTTTCTCGTCACCGCGTCGTCGATGGTGGCCTGGATCTTCTTGATCCTCGCCGGAGTGGGTTGTAGTACCACCCCGTCGCAACGGATCGACACAAGGACGTCCTTGGATTCGTTTCTTGGCATTCTGGGCCTTCGACGGCTTCGTCTGCAGGCTCAGCAGGTCGAGGAACCCCGCCATGCCGTCGAAGGCGCCGGCAGCCAGCTCGTCGATGTCAACTCCATTGAAGTCGTCGACGAATCCGAAGCGGCCGGACACGGTCCACAACAATACCCTCTTCAATGCCTGCAGTGTGTCGGCCGTGCGGTTGAAATTCCACACCGACGCCGCAGCGCCGAAACACATCACCATGTGGAACCACACGGTGACCCCCTCCGGCGCTGCCAGGAAAGTTCCGGAGTGCGCCGGGTCCTTTACCGGGCACTGCCGGTACGCGTTGAGGAGGTCGCGGCCGAAGACCCTCAGTGCCTCTGCCTGCTGGACCGACCAACTCCACGCCAAATAATGTCGACATAGTCGTCGACGAAGTGGTGGGTGTGCACGTCGCGTGCCGACGATCCTCGTCTCTGCGCACCTTGGTGTCGCCGCCGTTCTCGAAGGAGGAACGACGCCGCGGCGAAATGCTGTCCCGGCGGGCCTACCACTCTGCCGATCCGCGACTCCTCGACGAGCAGCTTCTGCGAGTGTTCGCCGGCCTTAGGCCTGGATGCCCGGTCCTGGACGCAGACGAGCGCGCCTTAATTGGAGCAAGCGCGCCGTGGAACACGAGCGCTCTGTGGCGCGCCCGAGCGCGCCGTGGCCGAGCGCGCCCGGGCCCATACACCTACGCGCCACGCGCCGCGGCGTGGAGCCGAGCGCCGTTGCCACGAAGCTCGCCCAGCGTTTCGAACCCGGCCACGTCCGGGTCGCCGACGAGGTCGAGGAGTGGAGGACAACAGGGATCTGAGTGTGGCGGGTCTATCTTCGTCGACCTGGCCTGGACGCTAGCCATTCCTGCATGTAGTCGCTGCGGACACACGTTCCAAGGGGTTGGAGCAGGGGTGGTCTGGCCACCGTGCAGTGTCGCAGCCGCTGCGGCAGACACGTGGACGTCGGCCACACCATCCGCTGCATTGCCGAGCGCTATCATGTGGAGGCGCTTCTTGGCTTCCGCCAGGATGGCCTGCAGCCGGCCCCCCCTGATCCTGCATCATGGCCTCCTCCGTGTCGTGGGGCGAAGCACCGGCTGCGGCCGCCTATCTAGCTTTAGCAGGCTCTGGGAGTTTCTGTCCGACGCTCTTCGGCGCCGGCCGCCGGCGTGGTAGCGCAAGGCGGCCGCAGCCGCCCCGACGACACCGACTCGTGAAAACCCAATCCTCCAGCCGTCATCTCGTCGGCAGTAGCTGCGGCGTATGCGTCGTTCGACGGACTTGTCCCTGCACGCATTACATGTGTTACACTACAAGCCACAGAACTTCGGGGCCTCAATCGCCCATGCCTCGAAGGCCGTGTAGAGCAAAGAATCCTAGAGGACGGGCCGGGAGGGCATGCTGTGACGTCTAAGCTGAGCGATCCGAAGTGCACAGGTTGCCATGCCCTGTGCCGGCTGGTCACTACACGGCTACGTGTGTAGCTGCCAAGCCACAGATATCCCGCCCAGGACTCGGCTGAAGGCTAAGATGGGCAGGGCAGCGCTATGCATGAGGAGGCAGGACAGCCCGGCACAGGCCTTGGTCCAGCCGTTAGCACGAGGCACAAGCTGTGACGCATTTGCCATTCGCAACTGCCCAGCTCCAAACGCAGTATAGCTGGCAACCACACCTCGTACCGATCCTTTGGTGGCAACACAGACAAGAAGGCGAATCACGCACGCGTATCACTCGTCTTCCAGCTTTACCGCACTTGGACCGACGTGCAGATCAGGGCGCCGGTCGCAAAGCCGACCGGCCACGGATCCCAGTGCCGCTGACGATACGAAGCCGATGGCGAAGAGCTTGGCAATGACGATGCTGCCTTGTCCAAGTTTTCGAAAATTGAAGAGGCAGGGCCTACCAGAGGGGGTTTCAGGCATGGAAGCACTGGGAAGAAATGCTGAAGCACGCAGACACAGGGAGGTGCGCATTCGCCTATAAAGCTGGTAACCAATGAGAGCTCATGGGAGCTTCTTGTGCCGAGCGGCTCAGGCCTCTTTCGGCATACAGTGCATACAGGTAGGGTCCTGCTCATCTCCACGACTGATGCAGTCGCAAGCCCACCTATGTCTTATGTCTTATGTTTCATCGTAGACTGGCTCCTTGAAGCCAATCTGCAGCCACACAGCTGAACCAGGCTGGGAGGAAGCGAGCCTGCGGCCGGCTCTGAGCGAGCGAAAGTCTCTTGTCTTCGGTCTTCGGCTCGGCCTCAACCCGCTCAGCCTGGAAAGGCATCTGAGCCGGTGCGACTCGCTCTGGTCGGAAGTTCTGGCCAGCGGTCTGCCGGCAGGCGACGCGCCAAGCCTTGCAAAAGAGGGGTGTCCAACAACAATGCACACCATGCGCCCGAAAACCATGAGAGCACGCTAGAGCACTGATAGCGCTCAAACAGAGAGACAGCCGAGCTGCCCTTTCTCTCCGTGGCGTGCCACAACTGGGTGTGAACCTACCTGCTGTAGGGCAGGTGATGCCTGATCAGGACACCAAGTTAGACGAAGCAAAGGGGTCCAAACGTTTCCAGTTTCCAGTTACATCCTCATCCTATCAAAGCTAGCAACTAGCTAATCGCCTCACACAAAGAGTCATGCAGTCCAGGCCTTTTGCAGCAAGAGGTGCCATGAGAAGGACCTGGCCGAGGTTGCGGATTGGGCTTGGGGAGGGCTGGCGGCTGGGGGACAGAGAGGATGCAGGGGCAAACGTTGATAGCGCCTTGGCTCCGGCGGCGAACGGCATCCGCAACAAATCCCAAGCTCCGGGTCACCGACATGATTGCAACTCTGATCCGCGAAGCTGATGCATTCATGATGCCCGACAAAATGTACATACTGTCAGTTGCAACAACGCAGAGAGCCCTTCCCGCATCAGCTCAAGGTGTTCCGCAAGATAGCGGGCTGAAGAGAGCAGAGACGGTGGAGGGTCCTAGTCGCAGACACACACGCACACACACACACACTGTTTACGAGTGACACGGGTGACGCTCTTTGCGCCAAGGGTATGTGCCGAAGAGTCAATTTTCCCTTTGGACACAAATCCCCCTCACGGTGCGTGAAACTGATGGAAGTCACAGGCCATTGTTCCACTGGCCCGAATGATCCTCGCTACTCCTCTCATCACAGACATGCACATTGATGCCAAAACAGACTGATGATCAGACTGATGCCCCAGAGACTGAGAAAGAGCAGATCCCGAGAAATGGAGCTGAGGAAAGCGCTGGTGAAACCTCGCTCGCTGTCACGCGGCGATCGCTTCGGCAGGGCCAGGCCCAAGAGCTGCAACCTGCAGAGGCCTAGTAAGCAAATAAATACATGAATGAATGAATGAATGAATACATGTGTATATATATATATACATATAGGTACACATATATACACACTCACACACACACATATATATATATATCCTCACACATGCATACACATACTCTTTATTCTATCTATCTATCTATTTTCTTTCTTTCTTCTATGTAGATCTAGATCTAGAGCTAGAGATAGAGAGATAAAGAGATAGGGAGATAGAAACATAGAGTGATAGAGAGAGATAGATAGATAGATAGATAGATAGATAGACAGATAGACAGACAGACAGATAGATGGATAGATAGACAGACAGACAGAAAGACAGACAGACAGATAGATACATAGATAGATAGATAGATAGATAGAGAGAGAGAGAGAGAGAGAGACAGAGAGACAGAAATAGATAGATAGAGAAAGAGAGAGCGAGAGAGAAAAAAATAGATAGGGAGATAGATAGATAGATAGATAGATAAATAGATAGACAGACAGACAGACAGACAGACAGATATAGAGAGACAGAGAGAAATAGATAGATAGAGGGGCCTCAATTTTTTGAGTGTTTTTTTTCCCTCTCGCATGGCTGAGGATCTATGCCCACTAGCGAAGTGTTCGGAATAAGGGTAATAAAGCGTAGAGTATGATCATAAAACACATGCTTGAAAGACGAGCTTGCCCGCAGCATTTTGCCTGGTCCACGGGGAGGACGTCTATCAGCTCGTCAGATGCCAACTCCTTCCATGAAGAAGCTTGCGCAGGAGTCTTTGGTGAAGCCTCTGACCTTCTGCAAGGGTTGCCCTGTCTCTTCCGCCACCAGGCGCTGCTGCTCTGCTGGACTGAGCTTCCTCGGCACCAGCGCTTTAAGGCACATGTATGCTCAAGTCTGAAGTTGCGGCTAGCGTCTCTCGCCTCACCACCTTGTCCTTACATCCGGTGCGCGCGGGGCGCGGCAGCTGACGCTCAGAATGACGCTCTTTCTCCTATTCATCTTTTGCCAAGCCACATTGAGGTAGCCAACTCTTTCGACTTCTCCAGACTCCAGGAACATTACTCCGCGCACTCGCACGCCACCCTTCCATTCCTGCAGCGGTAAGGATGGCATTGAAAGGCATCCGCACGCATGTAACAGCGCACACCTCATGCAGCGTAGTGCATCGGAGATTCGCCAGAGAATTTTTCTCCAGTCGTTTGATATGTACACTTCCTTTGACGAATTGCAAAGCTGCAGAAGTAAAGCAGGCACACCGAACGACAGCCGATGCACACAGGATTTGCATCAGATGGTGGAAACTGCGAATGTGCTGTCAATTCCACATCACAGTGTGAGGTATTTGGCCCCGGTCAGCTCGTGGCCGTGAGGTTTTCGGCCAGCTTGGGAGAAACAAAAAGCCCTTGCTCCACCACCAGCCAGTCGGAAACGCAGCCACATCCCACCCCAACATCCCTCGTCCGAACGTCCGAATGCAGCAAGCACAGGATGTCTTTCGATCGGAGCCAGGCGGCCCTTGACCAGACCTCAAACCTTCATGGAACTCTCCCACATAGTCGCTTTCTTCCTCGGCAGATGTCTGCATTACCAAGACGCAGGTGGCCTGTGGACTTGCTGGGCATCCCGGCATCCGCATCATGAAGGCGACCCTTGCCCTCCGGAATGTCCGCCTCACAGCATAGGCCGCTCGTCAAAGGTCTCTGATGTCAGGTGAATCTCAGAATCTCAGAGCCCAGCTTTGAAGTCACCATCGTAGCAGCTGCCGTTGGGCAACCTGGCAGCTCCATGTCCGAATCGTCAGTTCAAGATGCAAAAAGGCTTCCTCGCACGACCCGCCTGTATGAACCGAAACCATGGCGAGCATCATTTAGCCAACCGCCACTGTACTGTGCCCCATCGCCAAAACTCATCTGGCCCTGTGCTTTGCAGCCGTGTGCGGAGGTGGCGTGCGAGCTGCGACTTGTTCAAGCCTGGCCTGGCCATGCCGCATGTCGTCAACCCAGCTGCCGTTGTAAGCCTCGGTGCAAGGAAAGCTGCCTCTCTCTCTCTCTCTCTTAAATCCTGCGCTGCAAAACGGAACCAAGACCGCGACGGACCCATCTGGATACTTCATCAGGCCCTGCAGAGCTGCAAAGGTGAAGTTGCGGAACTATGAATTCCGGTGCCCGAGCCTGGCCATGCCTTAGATCGGCAACCCAGCGGCCCTCGTACTCGGCTCCGTCGTCATACCTCGGTTTCTGCCATCGACCGGTTGCAGTATCTTGCAGTGAGAGTTTGTCACCTTCTGGGCTCCAGCCAGGCAGCGAGAACTTGCCGTAACCATCGCGCTTGCTCTTGAGCCATTGGCCGGTGTAGCATTCTCTGCCGGGATAGTAAAAACTCGGTTGCATGCAACGGCATGAGACATCGCCGCGGATGAACCGATACCAGACCAGCCTTCATGCGACATCAGATCTTGCAGGCCAGGGTGCGTCCCAGTCCCTTGCATCATCCCTTCGTTGAACTCCCCCTCGTAGTAGCCGCCATCGGCACAGTAGTAGGTCCCAGACCTCAGGATGCAAGGCGATCAGCCAGGCGTGTGACAGTGAGTATTGAGTATTGGCGAGGCACTGATCATGAATGGAAGGCTGAGCTAGGCACCCGTGTCGAGCTCCACGCTTAAATTGGCCTTCCTTGGATTCTGTCTCCGATCGAAACTGTGGGAGTGCCCGGCTTACATTGGGACACATTTGCGAGGATCGAGTGCAGTGGAGGCACGTATGAGTCACCGTTTGGGTACTCCTGAATCACGCGTGCACTGTGTAATGAGTCTTGCTTAGATCAAGCAGCCTCACCACTTGCATCAGATCTGGCCTCTCTGCTGAAGCCATTTAGCAAGGCCATGGCTGAAGCTTACTCTGCTGTGAGCCGAATCTGCGAGGGTCCAATCGCTTCATCCATCCACACTTGCCGCACAAGCAGTGCTGAGGGAAGCTGCAGGAAGAGGTCAGACAGCCGGACTTGACTATGTCCAGCAGCCAGCAAAGGTCGCTAGACTGCTAGACACATGCACGAGCAGTGCTAAAACAAGCAGCACTATGCATGTGCGACCTTGGCAGTCACGGCTTAGGAGCACTCGCTCGCAGAATTTCAGCTGGACGAGCAGTGCTCCCACTGCTAGGCTCTCGCCGCGAAGAGAAGAGAGCAGCAGCAGTTCACGCCTCATCTTGCAAAAAATGAGAGAGATGGCGACAAGACAAGCATCGATTCTTGCCCTGTCCAGTGCGCATCAGTCAATCAAGCTTTTGGCTTCGGCAATCTTGCAGGCGCGACAGCATGGTGAAAGGTGAAACCTGATCTCCGTGTTCGAGGGAGCTTGCAGCTTGCTGAACCTGCCCAGGGGTTCAGAACCTCCTGCTGGGCACGGAAGCAAGCCACAAATGTGCTTCCCTTTGCCGTGCCCGCAGGACAGCTGAGCTCCGCCCCGTACTCCAGAATCTTAAAGCACACTACCACTGTACACAAGCATCAGGCCAAGCTTGCCTCTGGCTTGCCACATGCTCTGCCGTTATTGTCTGCACACTGTGCCAGGGCAACAATCGATCCGATGCAGAGCAAACTCTTGAGGATAATTTCTCACATGAGCCTGTGGCAGTCTTTTGCCGGACGTGTCCAGAAATGGTATCACTTTCACAGTGGGCATCGCGGGCCCATGAAGCATACAGTGGGGAATTAATGGCAACCCTAGAGAGCTTTCGTTAGGTGAATCAATGATTTGCAGGTTTCTGGCAACATTTGACCCTTGCATTGCATGCCAAAGCCTGCACGGGTCACACTCCAGGTGGGCACAAGCCCCCGTAACGCTGTTGTTCAGTGTTTTCTGCAGCTCTAACAGGAGAACCTTCTGGTCTCTGCAGGTCGGGTTAAGTTTGTTCGAGGTCCTCCTGCATTGGCCACCAGAAGCTTGGCACTTTCCTGTAAACCCAGTTCCCAAGATACAGTCTCCAGAACCTGGCAGTGGCGAAGTTATCCAGAATGCCTCAATTGCTCCTTGGCATTCCTGTCGCCAGAAGCCACTCCAGTCCCAAGTCTCTGTGCTTGTTGTGGGTCTCCTTGGTCTCGGTCATGTGGAAGTGACTCAGAACCTCAGTGCGATGCTCGACACTGAGTACTAGCCTCATGTGCAGATTTCCATGGGGCAGCCCCTGAGGTGCTTGTCCGTCATGCACTCTTGCGACGGCAGCTTTCAAATTTGGAAGTTGGGGTGGTAATGTCTGTCGGTACAGACAGCTTAAATCGGGCAACTGGACGGAATATAGGACCTAACTGTAGCAATGCCAGCCATGCACGGCCAGGATGCTCAACACCTAGCTGTTCAAACCAGGTCGACCCCTGCCATCTACTACACTGCGCGCTGGAATTCAGGCTACAGTAAACTGCCATACGTAAATGGCACATGTCTGCCTGCACGTCCATCTTGCGGGTGGCGCAATCAGCCTGGAAGTGGCAGGGAGAATATGTAGCACTGTGGAATAAGGCCGGGTGGGGCGGCTACTGGAGCTCCGGCTACATGGGTGAGTTGTGCGAGGACAAACTGCGGGCTGATAGAGGTGCAGCATTACTATTACCTAGCTGAAGCACATCACTGGAAGCATGACTGCTCTTGGCATGCTAGGGTTTGAAATGTTGTTAGAGTGGGTAGGTGCCGCAGGGTGCAAGCAGATTCAAGCACTGGCAACCTACTTCAGTAGACGGTCCAAGCCAGGCTTGATGTCACCTGGAACTGTGCTTGCTCCTTTGACTTGATGGCTCTGTTACCCGGATCGGTCACGTCTCTATCCATCCCCACTCGAGGGTGTACATGAGCCGATGCTTGCAGGCACAGTTCTTGTCTCTCAACGTTGGCCGAAGACTCGTTTGGAGTCCGACGTAGTTGCTGTACAACACAACGTCTCTCCTAGGAGACCGCGACTCTGCCAAAAAACTTGCACCTCCAGCCTCGCAATCCTCTCCGAAAGCAGAACACGCCGGGTGCAGGGCACATGCCGTGCTGTGGACTTTCGTCTCGGAGGACTTCAGGCCCCTCCCGGTTGACGCTGGTCCATCCGTTCCACAGCTGTCGGGCAATTTGTCGGGCACGTTTCTCGTCCGTGGATCTGGTTGGATCTGTCACGACTTGCGCGTCTTCGTAGCTGGGGCTCGCCGGGCTCAAGCCTCAGAGCTGTTTATACGTTTTCGTGCTTCGTCCACGCTGCTTGGGCATGAGACGGACGAAGCTCGAAACCGCAGAGCTTGCGCTGCGATGTTAGGCCTGTTACTGTCGGTCTCGGGTTATCTGCGTGCACGGGCTCGCAGCTGTGTTCCACAGCGAAGTTGATTAAGTTTGCCTTTAGCGGACCACGGAGAGCACACCTCGGGGTCCAGTCCAGTCCTCCCCCCCCCCGGAAAGCGGCCTGTGAAATCCGTTCCCGCGCCTGTGGCCGCTTGCCCAAGCAAAGCTTCCTCTGCGGCCAGCATGGCCTCCTCCCGGCTGGCAAAGCCAAATTTCCTACCTCAGACAATGCGAATGCACTCCAAGACAGACAGCGGACGAATACTGCAAAGTTGAGGCCCCAGCACGTCTCAGAAACGAAACCCCAGGGCCTCTGGCGTGACCCTCTTTGTGCCCGAGTGATGGTGACCTGAAGTTCAATGCAGACATACACATGCTCAAATTTTGGACTCACGTTTTCGCCCGAGATGCAAGGAACCCGAAAGTGACGAACACATCGTCGTGTCTTACGCAAAAACATAACAGGAAATCAAATTTTTCGGGTTCCATGCACATGCTTCGGATCCCAGGATTGTCATGTCCGCCCACTCTGGTCTCTGGGCTCCTCTGTCTTGTACCAAGTGGCCATGGCACCATCCACTGCCAACAACCTGGGGGCCTGAACAAACCCGATGACCGATGGGTGACGTTGAGCAGGTTGGCGTGTTTCCTGCAAAGTCGAGAGACAAAAGCGAGAAGCCTCAAGCGCTATCAGATATATGTCACTGTGATATCATGCAGTATCGGGGCATCCGTGGCTCAGTGCCCTGTATCTCAAGTGCCCACTTGTGACCGTCGCATCCAACTGTGGCACTTGGAGGCGCGGCGGCGTCCGAAGCCCAACTAACCGGGCGGCCTATGGCCTAGGACGTTGCGTTCGCTTGGCATCTCTTCGCAGCCAGGAGACCAAACCGTCGCTCGTCAAATCGCGTGATGAATCTTCCGTGGCACGAATCGGCCTCGGAAGGACCAAAGCATTAGAAATCTGAGCCCCCAGTTCGATACGGCTCATCATGGTTGTCTTCGGGAAGAGGACGAGTTCGTTCAAACTCCGAACTTTACCGGTGCGGCTGCACGAGGCCAAAACAAAAATGGCTATGTGCGGGGTGCGGATTTGCACCACATCGAGCAACGGCGAAGGGGATGGTGATGGCAAAGATGGTCCCGGAGAGGGTGCAGGTGAAGGCGAAGGCGCCGGCGAGTCGGCAGCCGCCTGCAGAGGCAGGTGCACTCGCGAGTCTCCTGGAGGTACTGCGAGGCAGGATAATATCAAAGCACAGCGGGCCTGAGAATACCGCCACACAGATGCGAAGCGTGGTGCGCAAGAAACCCACTTGATACCTGGGAGGTAGGCAGCGAGCATCAGCAGGCAGCTTGCACGACGTGTAAGATTCGTGACCGATTCTAAGCAGAAGGAAGACACCTCTAGAATCCTACTGTACAGCATTCAGCAAACCGAACGAGATCCTGCAGAAGTCCCGACTGCCCAAACCCTGTCGAGCCATGTCGAGCCACGAGCTGGAGCCGATGTTCTGTCGTCCGGCGCCTGTGCTGCGCACGAGCACTAAGACTAAGAAAGGAGCAGAAGGAACGCGATCCAAGTGGCAGGTTTCTCCTCGTCCGGTGGGGGGCCATCAGCCGTGGAATCATCAGCTTGCTGTAGCCCGCTGAGGGATGTCCTGCTGCAAAGGGCGCTGTCGCTTGGAACCAAAACAAGCCTCTCGTACGACATGACTAGACTGGACACGGTTCGATGCAAGCATCAGGCAGCAGAATGCAACCTCAGATGCCAAGTGGCGCAAGGGAATTTGCCTCTGCCGCAGCAGACTCCGCGGGCTGCGGCGGCTGGCCAGCTGCACTTCGCAGCCCCGCCCTGCCTGACCGCGCTTTTCTCCAATGTCCAGCCCTACAGTTCCGTGCATGATCGGAAGGCGCTTGGCCTGGGCCGGGGCCCAGTGGTGCTCGGCCGAAGGCCACGGAGGGAGCGGCGGCCTGGAGCGAGAGCGAGAGAGCTGGGTCTCTGACCGACAATGGCACGCACCAATTGTGCACAACCGACGGCGCAACACATCTCCACATATCTCAAGCCTTCCCGGCGTGAAAGAGGACTTGCTGCGCTTGCGCCGATGCTGCCTGGTGATGGCGACGGAACCCCTTGCCCCTCGAAACGTGCGTCTTCCTACGCCCGGGTTACAGTATCAAACAAGCTGCACATAAGCTGCACACGAGCATACAGACACGGACGCATCCAAGCCACATCAGCGTGCAACCAGCTCAAGACCTTGTCTTGACACACTCTTGAATTTTGTGGCGCATTGCCAGCTCTGTCCAGGCCTGGTTTAACGGTCAAGGGTGTCTGCAGCAATGAATTCTGTCCAGGCACATTCTCCCAGCCAGGTGCACTGGCAGATTGAACGACCGGGCTTCCGTGGCTGCTCCCGCCTTTCGGCTGAAGCGTGAAGCGTGAACGTGTGTACGCTGCTAATGTCCCGTTGCAGCATTCGGGTTTTTGTGTTCCCATGAGTTCCCAGTTCGCCTTCCGCAGGGATGCGGGCTGCTGAAGATGTCGCCGGCGCTTCCGGGAAGGCAGCAAGAAAGTTTGGCCCCAAAAGCGCTGGTTCTTCTTCCCCTCCTCGAGCTCGGGATGGCTCGGGCTTCGCTGCGTGAAAGGTTCTGATCAAGAGGTCCAGCTCCACTTGCTCTCCAAGGAGCCATCAGCCTCTGGCGCCTCGGGCGTTGCATCCTGGCGGTGGCTTACGGCATCTCCCCCGCAGACGCAGGTAACAGCCCAGCGCCTGCTCACCGTCCTCTTCGGCACCCGTGGCCCACAGGGCACAAAGCCACGGGTGCTCGATGACATCGTCCAAACCTGGAGGCTGGGACGAGGTGCCCCTTCTTCACCTTCTCGACATCTTCTGAGCCGCCCGCTGAGGCGATGCTCCGGTTCGTGCTTCAGCAAGCCCAGCAAGAGATCTTTGGCCTCCGAAACTCCAAAAACCAAATCCAAAAACAACGCCGAAGCTGGCAGACTGGAGCCAACGTTTCCAGCACCTCAGGGCTGACTCGCTGCCACGCCTCGGCACGACTGGGCGTACGCATGCGCGAGCACGTCCACTCCTACCAGCGTCGCATCTGAGAGTACACATCACCCGAGTGTGGACGCTGTTTCAGAGCAGTACAAATCGATGGCGAGATTTGTTTGCTCTAGACCGCAGTGTGGACGCTGCTCGTAATCGCCAGGTCGCGCAAGCTCAGTTTTCAGGGTATGCCGCAAACGCTGGGGTGTTCAAGCGCACGTTTCATTGCAGTCTGCAGTCTTAAAGCACAGTGACATGTTGGCACCGACTCTCCAAGTCCACGGTGCTTTTTCCTTGTCGCATTCATCGAAGCCCCACATTCCGAGTTTTGATCTTGAGGCTTACGCCGCAGTCCACGTCTGAAATGTCTGAAGCACTGATCGTCGGAGCAACACCCACCATTCGCAAACCGTCTCGTGAACTACCCGAGACATACCTAGCGAGCGTTGATCTTGGGGGTTACACCACGCATGCGACGACGCATGAACTTGGATATCGCAAATGGGTGCAGATGGGTGCGGTGAACCATCACGAATGGCAATACTAATCACGAGCTGGCTCGGCCCGAGAGCCCTGCCGCGCCGCGAAGCATCAGCTCCGTGACCTCGTCTCCTGGCCAAAACATTCCAAAATCTGCAGCAGGTATACTTGCTTTCAGATCACAGACTCCACATCATGTCACGACTGTGCGTTTCTCAGTCTTTCTTCGTTATGCCTTCTTGTGGGTGTGTACCGGCCAGCATCGCATACCTCGGAAAACAAGCGCCCTACGAACCTATGACAACAACACCTCTACAGCACCTCCGACGGTAGACACAGACTGCATGTCCAGATATCTGACTTTGGACAAGAAACAGGGTAACTCCCAGCGCGTACACATCCACCTGCATGTGCCGTTCATGAACGTGCTGGCTTGTCGCTGCTGCGACCGTGTCTGCCCTAGACTAATGGCACCTTGGCAGCATCATAGTTCTCCTGGCCCGGCGTCGCATGGCGAGTCTCCGGAGCCCTCGCAAGATGCAACACGCATCATCAACTTTAGTCGAAAAATGTCCACCCCGGACCTGTAGTATTTGGTTCCCAAGAACGGCGTGGATGTTCCAGATGCACAGCCACTGATGTCCTTCGGCACGCCACGAAGTAGCTTCAGGTACGAGTAACTATAGTGAACATCAACGAATTGGCAATGGGCAGACCCTCGTCCTTGCTGAGGCCAAAGTCGACCAATTTCACAACATCGGGCTGTCCGGGCCGCAGAGGGCTTGCCAAAAGGATGTTGTGTGGCTTGAAGTCCTTCAAAGGAGCGACGTGCATGCGAGGCAGTATGGTGCCTGCAACTCAACCAGCCAGAAATCTACTACCCAGTTCCCGGACTCGAAGACGCGCCCGCTCGGCTTCAAGGGCCAACCCGGCATCAATCTATCATATATGTATGTATGTGTATATATATATATATATACACGTGTATATAAACACATATATATATATATAGAGGATTGCATGCTCTCAGTCCCGGTGCACCACGTCCAAGGCATGGCTGTGCCGCAAGGCCTGTGCAGCACTTGTAAACTTGGAACCAACAGTACACCCTGCATGCCATGCCGATTCCCGTGCATTACCGCAGGCATCGCATCCCGGTGCACCTCGGCCATCTGAGCGAACAGACCACGCGCTTCAAGTTCTGTGAAGCGGCCGCGACCCTTGAGTCCTTTGCTTCAGCGCAGAGGGTGAGAGGGCACATGACATCTCCGCCCACGATTACCCTCCATTTCCGGCTTGACCCTTTTCGACTTTCCACCTTGAGCACTAAGGCTGGCTCGTCTGCCCAGGTCTGTGCCGTTGACATACTCCATCACTATGTAGAACTTTCTGCGGAAGGCGAAGGCATCATGGACCTGCAGGTATGCCACCGAGGTAACAATGCTTCAATTATCGACCAGCTGCCGGCCTTCACGACCCCCGGGTGGCCACGAAGTTTCATCAGGTTGCGGACCTGCTTCGGCTATCAACTTCAACTTGAGGGAAACCCGGAGTCCTGTTTTTCCGAACTCTCTGCCGCAGCGTCAGCACCTCAAACTCCAAGCGGGCCACCCAGCGCACCAGCCTCTCTTGGTCGGCCCCAACGCGGGACGACCTCGTGTATGGCTGATCTGCTGAGCGACATGTCTGATATGTCTGGCAATCCGGGGCATGTGCAGAATCTGTAGATCGACTTCCTTCACTGCGAAGGATTCTGTGGCACCCTCTGCGTCCAGCTTCTCATACCTCGCTAAGGTCTCTGTGCCACCTCTTCGCAGCCTTAGCATCCTGAAGAGAGCAAGGCCTGTAGACGTCTGCGAAGCCCCCGCTTCCGAGCAGTTCCCTCTGGCGGAAGCGAGTCGAGTCCAGGACCTGGGCTCGGGACTCGCCATGAGAGACCTCCTTTCCTGGCTCAGCTCCACACGAAACGAAGAAATGTTGCCGAGACACGAAGATACCTGGCTCCTCGACAGTGCCACCTGCTCCAGTCTTGCTGGCCTCATGCTGAAGAGAGAGCAAGCTGTGCTATGGAAAGGCTGCCTAGCACGTCTGCTTTTAAGTGAATTCTATGATTTCTATGCTCTGGTTTAAAGCCTCAGCGAACCTGCTGGTCCAACCATGTGCAACAGCCAGCTCGTGCACTTTGACGAAGAGTTGCCTTGCCTTCTCGGGCTCCGGAGCTTCTCCCTCACTGTCGCTGCTGCTCTCTGCCGTCTCCTCAAGGCATGCAAAGCTCGGACCAAAACACAGTCACAGCAACAAAGCGAAAGCAACAACTTCTTGCCAGCCAGTTGCCTCACACGGCCTGTCCAGAATCACCTGAAGTTTACTTCTACTTCGCGGAAGCGTTGGCTTCTGTCAACTTGCAAGGCTCGGACACGAGAGTATTGCACAGAGCCTGCGAATTCTGTCTGAAACCTTCAACTCAAGCCAAGACTCGACATCGTCGTTGCTGGCATTCAAAAAGCCTGGCTGCGCTGCTGTTGCTGCTGGTGCTGGTGCTATACTATACTGCTATACTACTGCATACCGGTCTGTTCGAGGGCGCTCGCAACCAATCATAGGAGGCGTCCATCGGACACAAGGACGGATGTTGGGTCACTGTTCTTGCGGTCTGCAAGACCTCGCGCTTGCTTAGGCATTGATTCGGCTGAAACAGCCGGCACCGGAGAAGTGCCGAGATTGGTGGGAGCGAAAACCTTGGCATGTACCGGCACAGGACCAGGCCTAGGCCGAAGACGTGGATGATGGATCTCATGCCTGCAGCAATCACCGCAGCATTGGCTTGTCCAGCTCATTGGCGATTCAGCCCTTGCCTTGCTGCAGGTCCTCTTTCGTAGGCTCTGTTCGAACCACCAAATAGCGCCGCCCCAGCAGTTCGACCTTGCGAACGCAGAACAATGCTACGAGACTCGTTTTTCTTGCATGCAATGACAGAAAGAAGCAGAGCTAATCTTCCGAGCTCCGGAGAGATGTCTCAAGTGCACTGCGCTTGCCACCCTGCACCGCTGACCAGGGTAAGGGTGCAAGTAGGACAAAGATCGACAAAGGTTAAGGAGAGACGAAGCTGCACCGCCTCTCGCTGCTTGAAAAACCGGATGAACTGACTGAAGCATTTGAGCTTCGGAGAGCAAATACCCTACCCGATCAATACTGCAAAGCCATACTGAGGGTATCTTCACCTGACTTCAATTGCGAGATAAGGTCCGGTTGCTGTTTCAGCCAACCGGACAGGGCATGCTCAAGAGGCTTCTGTCAGTAAAACCGATATTGTCGCCCAGCAGGCATCAAAGTGACTCCGGATGCTTCGGTATCGGCACTCAGCTTTGCAACTGCGGAGATGCTGAGCTTTCGTGCCACTTGCAGTGGTGTAGTGCCGTTGGCAAAGCTGGGATCAGCAGCTGAGCGATGCCGAGTGCACACAAGGTCGTCGCAACCAGCTGTTTCACACAAGGGTGTCCAACTGTCAGCATCAGCCCCGTTCACATCGGCCCGATGGCAGCAGTAGACTGACAGCCTCCGAATGTCCAAGCGTGGGTGCCCTCGGCAGCGAATCTTGCCTCTGGCGTCAGCCAAGTCTTGGCTGCTCCGCAGCTTTCTGCTTGCCAAGTGCAAGGACGTCTCGGCTTGGCTGTTTCCGTTGAGGTCGGCCACGGCGTCCACCAGAAAATGCACCGTCTCAGCCTGGCTAGCCTGCGACATCCAATGCAGAGGAGCACAACTCTGGGCACGTCAGCTGTCTTTTCTGTCAGATAGGAATCTGGAGACGAACTCCAATCAGCCGTAGCTTCCAATAGCAGTCGCGTGATGTCGAAGCGACGGTTGCAGAGAGCAGTCGTTCCTCTTGCCGTGGGATTGCTCATGTCGGTGCCCGCCTGGATCAGCATCTGTACTGCACCCAGTTTTCCCCCGTCAGCTGCGAGAGCCAGCGGCGGTCACATGAATGCAGGCTCCGGCGCCCAACAAAAGATGCAAACCTTCACATCACATCACATCACCAAGGGGGCACACTCAGTTTACAGGCAGAATGCACCATATCATCCGGCTGGTTCACTTCAAGGCCCGCTTCAAGCCAAACACATGCTTACGGTTTTCAGTTGCCCGCTTCGAAAGCTTGATGCTGTTACCCCCGCACCAGCTATGATACGCAAGCCGGCGACTCCAAAGCACTCTCCCTTAATTAGGTGCCGCATGCAGAGGAGTCGAACCGTCAAAGTCCGCGATGTCAAGACCTTTGCATGCTTCCCTCAACAGACGAGCGTACACCGGATGTCGCATCCTGCGCCCCGTGAAAAGACGTTGGAGACTCTATAAGGATGCATAAAGTGCTGCTGCAGTAGGCCAGGCAGCCGGATCACGACCTTGGCAACGGACAGCCGGAGCCTGTTTGCATCATCTCTTCACTTGATGCAGATCTTGCGCCGTCGTAGTGGTCGAACATGACGTGACCACCAGCTGCGGCTTCATCGGCAATTCCAACTTCTGCTCGTTGTCGAGCACACAGCCATCGCGTATATGCACTGCCTAGACGTGTCAATTCCCGTTGCCCAGCTGACACAATGCCGTGACTGTATCACCTGCCAGGATGTCAGGGCACCAAATTCGTTTTCCCTGAGCTCGAGGACAAGTTTGCCCGACGTTCGGCAAACATGCAACATGGCTCACAGCAGCTCTCTTGGGTCAGCAGCTCCGACAACGGATTCGAGCCTGAAGGGATCTGAAAAGCATATGTCCTGCTGTTTCCTCGCATGATGAGATCTCAGGATGATCTCAGGGGCAATCACGACAGGTCTGGCACGCTCGCTGCTGGCTGAGCCATGCACATTGCGAATCAGCTGCCCGGTATGGTCTCGGCCATCAAGACGGCTGTGAAAGTGAAGCGGGGTCTCCTGGACAAGTGCCAAGGGTCTTTCCCCCCTTTCCCCGGGGACGTTTTTAGTTGGCAAGCGTCGGGCAGATAGCCTATGCCAGCAGCGTTTACACTTCCATTCTGGCGTCCTGCAGCTCAGGCTCCGGTGATGCGATCTCCAGCGCCTTACTGCAAGATCCGGGTTGCTTCCAGCTGCTGTGGAAGTAATATTAGTAATGTTCGACAAACCCTACCTTGCGATCGTCACCCCAACGCAATGGATGCCTCGTGCCTCAACTTGCTAGCTTGTTCTAGCCTGTAGATGTGTCTGCTCAGCCTCGCTTGCGCAGTCGCCGTCGAACTCGGTATCGAGCCTCGGTGTTCTTGCATAGATATCGCAGGATGACGATCCAACGATTTCTACAGGGGCCACATGCCAAGGCCAGGAAGCGTCCGATCATCAGCTGAGACGATGCAGAACTCATTGCCTTCCTTGGCATCGCGCCAAGGTTGGCTCTAGGACTTGACCTGCTGTGACCTCCCTGGATGCTCGAGTTTGGCCCCGAGGAAGTTCATCCAAGTAGCTGTCGCTTCTGGCGAGCCAGCGCCAGAGTCCAAAGGATCTGTCCGCCGCGACTGCAAGCATCCCGTGCAAAAAAAGTCTCTGTGACACCGTTGAACACGTGCCTCGCAGGACTTCGGCGTAACCTCAGAGGCGGCATGGATGTTAGAAGCTTCTGCACATTCCAAGATTAGGCCCTGGCATCCGGAGAAGCCAGTCGGATCTCACCGGCCCGGGGTGTGGCAAAATCAGACAGCGATGCCCGCCCGCCCGTGGAGCTCTGCTCCTTTCTACAGCTTCTCGTAGGCTCTGCTGGCTCCAACTTCTGCCCTACCTGGTTGGCCTGGTCGGTCATGTCATCGGATGCCAGCTCAAAGTCCCCAGCAGCGCTCATCTGCTCGGAATCTTTTGAGCCTGGGCAAAACAGCAACTCGTGCGACACACCTGCATGGTGGGAGATACTGGCCCGGAGCAGGACTACCGTATAGAAATGGGATAGTTAAGGAGCTGGGACGGCTTTGAACGGTTTCCGTTGGTCACTAGATTATGTGCATCCCATGGTGAAGCGCTGAACCCAGAACCCAACCAGTACAGTAGCTGTAGCGCAGGTGCAAAGCGCTTTCTAGTTTTGAAGTGCGGCAAGTGCTGTCGAAAGCGTCACTGGCCGGCACCCGAGGCAGAAGTGGTCGGTCGACAGCCATCCGCACTGCCACGCAGGCCCACTTCAGTCTCAGAATGTTTTGCTTGTGTGCAGGTGCATAGCACAGGTGCATGTGTGCAGGTGATGGGAATCCATTTTTGAGGCTGTCTGCATGCGCAAAGTCCTCAGTAGCAAGAGGTCGGTCTGAGCCACGATGAATCGGGCACAAAGCGCGGCCAAAGATCGAAACCACCAAGAGCTGTTTGATTCCGTCCCTCTCCGGCCATGCCACGCCTTCTTATGTGTTTGCTGGGAGAGTTTCTCACTCCAACTGTCATCCCGATGAGGATCAGTACCTTCTTACCCGAACTGAGTTGCTGCATCTTGCGCAAGATTGGGCTCGCGATCGGCACCGACCTTCTAAAGCTGTTGCAATCCGAGGCCCCATGCAATCTCTCCCGGGCCGTGGCGCATCACCTTCCAGATGAACCCGACAATCTACGACAAGAATCAATCCCATAGGAGGCCAGTCACGCCCAGGCCTCGAGGTGCAGTGCCGAGCGGCACTAGGCCATTCTTCATGCTGAAGCGAGCCCCCTAAGAGTAGGGTTTAGGAGAATCGGCTTGAAGTAACTACAAAGATGAATGGGAAGGTATGATGGCCACTTGGTCCCAAGTTTGCGGGCTTGCTGCACTTGATTGCATGGGTGCGGCAAGAGGGAGTCTTGTGTTGCGCAAAGGGATCCAGAACCAGCTGCCGGTGTCCAAACAATGAAGAGGAGAAGGGGCTGGTAATGGTTGGGAAGACTCGATACTGCCTCGAAGCTCACCGCGTGGATTCCGGGCCGTGGAGAGTGTGAGAAGCTCTTGCTCCCGTGAGTTCATGTCGCAGATGAGAGGTATTTGATCTTGAAACGAGCGGAGACCCTGTGGCGCGCCGCCTCTGGGTGAAACATTGGCTTGGCCAGCGAAATCGATTGAAACGGCAGAAAGAGAGCCGGATTCGCGACATCTCCCCTCCAACCTGCGGTCCTGTAGGTCCAGCAGGGTGGGTAATGAAAACTGGCCCGCTATCGCTGTAGCCTGGGGAAAATGAGGATTGCCCTGCTCCGGGCAGACAAGCCACGCTAGGCCATGGCATCCAAGTCTTTGGTCCACTTCTGCATCTCCTCGGCGGGCCTTGATGCAAACGCAGGCAGCACCTGGTAAAACACCAAGCTTCTGCGAAAGACACTGCGAGTAGCTCATTGGCGATCAAGACACGTGTCGAGCATGGCCTGGTTCACGCAGAAGAAGTCCACCTTCCCCTTCGTTGCGTCACCTCTAACTTACAGCGAGGATTGCAATCGCTGCCACGGGAACATCAAGGCTTCCCACTTTTCCGCTTCTCTCGTACACGAGTACGGTGGCAGCTCAAGCATTTACATGCTGTTTGGCATTGCTCAGTGGCCAAGGTGCGGATTGATTCAAAGCCAGAGATGACGCCTCGGAAATGAAGCAAGGAAGACGACATGGAGAACAAAGCTTTGCACCAGCTGCTTACGTACCACGAGGAGGTGTTCTCATTCAAAACTGGCAAAGAGACGGCCAGGAGGATGCTCTCGTTCAAAAGTTGAACAGGCCGAGGCTCCAGTCTGCCTCAGCCTCCTGTCAAGCACGGTTTCAGCGGCTTGGCGCTGCTCGGCCTTGGCTGATCTCGGTTTTGTTACTCTGCGCTCATGTGAGCTGCATGGGATTGTGCTTCGAGTTGCACATTCTTCGACGATACGATCTCGCACGTCGTCCGGCATGTCCAGGCGTATCTTGGACCTGAGCTCATGCTACCGTATTCATGTTCTGGCCTCCCACCCATTGACGTTAGAGACATCGCTTAGCAGGGGGCGTTCGTTCGACGGTCTCCAGCCACCGCTGCACAGATGCTCTTGCCAATGGCGCGGCACACAACAGGTCCTGCAAGCTTCCTTGGCTGCACAGTTCGAAGCACAACATCGGCATGGCGTGAAAACACCCCCAAGCTGCAAAGCTCCGGGCTGACTAGTGACTGGCGCAGTGAAAAAGAACGAAGACCCGTCAAAACACATGGACTCGTCGAGGCTCCCTGAGGATCTTCTACGATAGCCTTGGTGAGCAACAGCTCTTTGCAGCTCGTGGAAGGCAGTTCAAACTTGAAGCCGCGGAGGACCTGTCACGGCGGTCCGTCGCTGTCACCTCATGTCTTGGCCTGACTACAAGTGCCTTCTCCAGGATGGTGACAAGGGCTCGAGCCCCGGTTCTCTCCTCCACCGCGAGCTCTGCCACTCGGCGCAAAGCTGCCTCCTCGGCCTCAACGTATAAACACCCCAATCTGTGCCACTCCTCCAACCCTCGGTGAACCTTCAGTTGAATTCCATAGCCGTCGAAGTCATTCCTAAGCGCATGGAAGCAGCAAGCCAGGCCAGCATGTGACTTTGACTGCCTTACCGTATTTCACCATTCTAAAGCAGCTGGGCTTCTGGAATTGGAGCAGGACCGAGTCCTCGGCCTCCGTCAAGATTCTGTAAAGGTCGTTGCTGGTCAGGGCCCTGATGGCCTCAGTCGAACTCGCAAACACAAGCGTCGTGCTGACAGAGGTGGGCAAATCCCTGAGCCCGAGGCTACACGGACGGGAATACGCCCGACGAATTCCGGCTCTAGACCCGCTTCAACAAAATCCTTCGTCTCAGCTAGGTGCAAGTAGCCTCAGTTTCGCCAGACCGTCATAAACGCATCGAGAACCTACCGCTATCGCTCGGCGGGATCCAGGTAACTCTGGCTTTCCTCCTTTGAAGGGCTGAGGCCCAAAGTATCGGTCTCTTCGCCGTCGACAAAGAAACCCATGGGCTTGGTACCTGCGACGGAATTAACCGGCTCACTTCTACAGAAACAAGTATGGCAGTGGTGCTAGTGACCTCTTACAACCCCAACCATTCCGAGGTCACCCACGCGGTTCTTGATGATCTCATTCATGCCATTGAAGGCGCCGCTGAAGATGAACAACACCTCATGCAGACTTCCCCCGACAGATTCAGCACATCTAGTGCCGAACTCAGAACTTGAATATTGAATGCTACGTCTTCGACACCATGTGACGAATTTCGTCGAAATCGTCTGGTCAGCTTGGCCGCCCCCAAACCTGATTTTCAAGTCACATGCAGCTCATGGAGAGCCTAAACAAACGAAGCAAATGATTCAACAGGAGTTAGGGCAGTGGGTCCGGGCCTAGGTTCACGCCAGGTAACATGCTTGACAGGCTGGCCTGCATGGAGTTCTTTGTCCCCACCTGAGCTGCACAGAATAGGCAAGCCAAAAAAGTACCAAGGTCGCTAGAACATCTCTATGCTCAGAGTAAATATGAAGGTCGGGTCATCCGCCAGCCACAAGGCATGACTGACTGACCAACTGGCCACACAAGATGTCTGTGTGTTTTTTGCGCACATACATACTACATGCACAACCCACAGGTGTGCACGCACACATACATACATACATA